TAGTGGGTTTCTACAAGGGGTGCTTTCTTGGGGTCAAGAAAGTGGTTATCTTTAGTGTTGAAGTATATGCATGTGTGGTATGCTTGTAAACCTTCTTCATTAAGATAGTGGAACAAATCTTGATCAGGTTCTGATTGAGGACTGGATGTAGGTCACATGTGGAGTGGCTGAACCAGTATAAAAGACTTGTGGAATCTTCTTCTACCTTTATCTTTTACTTTGAGTAATTTCTTGGTTGGACATTAAAGAAGATAATTCTTGATTAACAAGTGTGTATGAATATTGTTGGTTTAAATCTGAATTAGAGCATTACATTTGAACCTCATTATTTTGTAATCAAGAGAGAATATTGCATTCATACTTTCATAACAAGTCTTTAGAAGAGTTTCATCTAAAAATTCAGTCTTAGAAAAGTTTAAGTGAAATAAAGATCCTAAATACTCTGATAAATTTTTAAAGAGTCATTGAATCCAATTCTCCCCCCCTCTTGGATTGTGCCATTCTTTTCTAACAATTGGTATCTAGAGCAAGGTTCTTGAGAGTTATTCAAGATTTCAAAAATGGCCAACAATAGCCTAGCTTATGGTGAGGGTGTGTCTATTCATAGATCTCCTGTTTTCAATGGTGAGAATATATATATATATATATAAATTTCAGCTAGTTTTTTAAACAATCAGCTTTTTTTTTACACCATAATTTTTTTTTCTCTATAGAAACAGCTGAAGAGTGGGAAAAATAAGTTTCTCCAAACACACTAAAGTTTATGATTGTTTTTCAACAATTTTTTTTAAGTTGATTTATTACATAAAAATTTATTATTTGGTTGTATTTAAATGAAATTAAAAAAGTATTGATTTTCAGCAAACTTATTTAAATAAATTTTCATTTTGATTATAATTGAGTGTTTATATAATCAATTATTAAAAATAAACTAATTTTTACAATTTTCCTAACTGCACTCTATGTGATCAATGATAAATATAAAATGAATCTCATAATTATTGAATAAAGAATCAATGACATGGTTGAAGATTATCAGATTAAATTTAATCTTATGACCATCCCTATTACAAGAATCTAACTTCGCATATTATAATAGTGAAGCACTTTGTAATAACAAATAAATAAATAAATCAACTTTTACACAAGTATAAAAGTTGAATCAGATTCGCACGTCTCCATCAATATAATTTAAAATATATATAAAAAGATTATGTACCATTTTGGATTTTTGAAATAATTGAATTCAACCACTTTAATTAAATATTTTTATAAACTGGGATCAGTATATTTGTATGTATTTTTTAAAATTGATCATTTCTTTAGAGTCCCCTCTACAATTGCATTATAAAAGCAGTAAAACTTATAATCCACACTTTGAATGCCTGCCTTAGAACAAGACCATGAATATGTAGAGGGCACATGCTACTATTATCATTTTTCAATGATTTTCAACGTACTTAAACCAGTTACATTTACTAACTTGTTCTCAAGATAAGTTGTGACAATTCCAAGTCTAAGGCTAAGCAATCTACACTATTGTTAATAATATTAGTGAGATAGAAATATTTTGTCTTTATATTTTTTTTAATAAAAATATTTAAAAATTATTAATGTTGTTAGATTAATTAGTGTTACACTTAATTTTCAAGATTTAAAATTTTATATTTAAGTCATGTGTTTATAAGAATAATTAATTTAAAAATTTAAGAGTAAAATCGTCTAAAAAAAAATATGTACACCAAATCAAGTTATCACTTTTATATTAT